CAGAAGCAATATAAATTCAATTTCCTCTGATTTCGATGAAATTTTCAATATCATTTATAACAGCAAACTGCAAATTGTTCAGCTGCAATCAGAATTCAATCAATGTTTCCATATCAAGCAATGAAAACACCATTTGCAATGTCATGAACAGGTTCAAGCAAATTTTTGTAAGCGGATATTTTTATTGTTTAAAATAAATTGCGTTCTGTTTTACGGGACATGGACTACAGTATTTTTTTATTTAACTGACCTTGAAATAAGACTATTTATTTAAATTAGAAACTTTATTTTTATAGCCATTCAGCGAAGAAACTCAGCCAGCGTTCTTGGCACGATACCATGGGCAGTGGGACTGTATGACAATTAAAATTTATATTTATTTTATTTATTCTTTTTTACATCTACCTCATAATAAGGGATATAAAGGGCGGACTTAATGGCTTGTGGCATTCTCTACCAGTCAACCCTGGATGATTTGAGAAGCTGTGGTAGGTGCAACACCACTCATAAATTAATAAATAAGTAAAAACATTATATTTTATAACCAAAAGCAAATAAATAAAATATTTTTAAACTATACAAACTTAATATTATCTACTTTGTAATCAACAGAAAAAAAATTAATAGTAAATATATAAACGGATAAAATATACTTATATATACAAAATATAAACGGATATAATATACATATATATACAAAATCTCCATTGTAAAATACGGGAGAAAGATCATTGTTATTAATCTTGGCTAATATTCTGCTACTACCTATAACCATTACCTTACATTTGGAAGGGTGAACCGAAACACCATGTCTGTACGACCAATCTCTTATGGCATCAAGGTTTTGGTTGAGTTTGTGAATATTATGGTTAAGGTCATTAACACTAGATTGCACATAGAGCTGAAGATCATCTGCATACAGATGGTACGAACAGTTAAGAACTGAAGTAATAGAATTTATAAATAGAGAAAACATTATAGGAGAAAGTATTCCGCCTTGCGGCACGCCTATTTCAATGTCAGCCCATGTTGAAGACTATTGTCCTAATCGAACTGATTGCTGTCGGCCGCGAAGATAGGATGAAAACCATTCCAAAGCTGGGATTGAGAATCTAAGATTAGTAAGGAAGGTTATAAGTATATCGTGATTGACTGTGTTAAAAGCATTTGAATAATCAACAAGTACTATCACTGTAAGCTTCTGCTCATCCATTCCCATTCGAATGTCATCTGTGACTTTTATCAAGGCAGTGGTAGTACTATAACCTGCTCGAAAGCCTGACTGATATTTATTCAGCAGGTTATGTTTGGTTATGAACATAGAGATTTGCTTGTGAACACATGCTTCCAGAACTTTAGATAGGTACGGCAAAATTGAAATTGGTCTAAAATGGGTAGGTAATAAGGGATAAGGTATTTTAGGAAGTGGTCGCACAAATGCTTTTTTCCACTGAGTAGGATATTGTCCTGAGTCAAGGGAAAAGTTTACGATATATGTGATTGCAGGCAAAAGGCACTCAAGGATCATGGATATCATAACCTTACTAACCTCATCGCAACCCACAGCCTTGGATTTAATAGCTAATACTGATTTCTGGATCTCATCTTCAGTCACAAGTAAAAAGTGAAAAAAAGGAATAGGAGGAGAAGGCATGGATTGAATAGAAGCTATTGTTGTAGAACGAACTGTGGGATCCAAAGGAGAAGTAGAGATAAAATGATAATTTATTTCATCCAAAGTGATTGATGGACCATGATCAGATGTAACAGCCTTACTAATAACAAGTGTTTTAAGAAATTTCCACACATCGGCGGTCGAAGAATTTGTTATATTGCTATGGATATAACGGCGTTATAGTTTTCATTTTTCTTATAGCTTTTTTAATTGTGTTAAACCTTTTAGTTAGATTTAATTTTGTAGTATGTTTTAAAAATATAAATAAATATAATTTTTTTTATTAAGAAACAGAATGAATTGGAATTCATATTTATATTAATTAGAATTAGAATTGAGTATTTAGGCAGCCTTGTCTGCGCGATTGGATGTTTGAATCGGACCGAATCTATGGTGGTCGATTCTACAGTTCGCTGATGACACTTTTTAGTTATTCTGTTCAAGGTTGTTCTTTGGTATTTATCCTGTAAAATTTCTTTCCATTTGGAGTTCCTTATCCATTGTAGCAATAAATGAGACGTAAGACTCTGTCGCCTCTCACGACAGACTTATTCTTGGGAGATGGTGGAGTGGATTATTACACCACCACTACTTGTTTAACAGTCACAACGAAATTTTTCTTCTCATAAGGCAGTTCTCATTAACAGACTTCAAAAAAGGAGGGGTGTTCTAGTTTATATAAAATTGTGTAAACCGATTCTTTGAAAACCCCCGAACCAATGTATGTGATCAAATGTAGGTGACGAAGTGTTTAATCTAAGTACGATATTAGTTGTTCATGAAGCTTGTAAAATTACTTGGTCCAATCAAAATGTTACAAAACAACTTTGATACTGACATTAATCCTATTTCGAAAACTAGAAAGAATAAAATAATTTCAGTGGTGTAAATTCAATAGTGTAAATTGATAGAAATCTAGTACAGCTTGAGATGCACGTACGATTTTTTTAACAAAATTTTTCAAACCAAATATGCTTTATAAAATTTTAACAGGATTTAACTCATACAAGTTATATTGTGCTTTTTACTGTCCCGTGGTAGCTAACCAAATCACAAGAAAAGACCGGCAACTTGTTTTAAAGAAAGAAACAGAAGAAGTTTTAAAGAAAGAAAAAAAAAACACTGTGCCGCAGACGTGGACAGATGACACGTGCTCGTGGTAAAGGTTGGGCGCCTCACAATTTGTTAAAAAAGTTCCGCTCGAGGAGGATTTGTAGAAAATACAACAAAGAAAATTGTTATGAACGGCCATGAAAGAGACAAACATTTTGAATACATTATAAAAAATATAATTTACAATTAAAATTTTTGTACAACTGAAAATCAAATCAAAACTAATTAAGAATTGAAATTATTAAGAATTGCTCAAAAGCTATTGGTTAGACCTTAATCAAATTTATATGGGACCACATGGGAAGCACCAGATTTCAAATAAAAGAAGAATCATCGTAATCGGTTCACTCAGTAAAAAGTTATGAGGTAACACACATAAAGAAACATATAGTCGAATTGAATACCGGATTCTTTTTGAAGTCGGCAGAAAAATAAAAGGGTTTTGAGTTTTTTATAGGATAGGATGTCAAACGAGCACACAGTCTACCTGATGGTAAGTTGCTTCGGCCCATAGACATCTACCAAAATCCAGATGCGTTGTCACCTGTGAGAACTAAGGTGGAATGCCTCTTTTCCAGTAAAAAGGGTCTCCGGTTCTCTTTTTTTTATATAGGAGGTGATAAACGAGCACACAGTCCACCCGATTATAAATGGTTGCTGTAACCCATAGACGTCTACATTTATCCTCAATGAAGTATCAAAATGCAAATGCGTCGTCACCCGCGAGGACTAAGATGGAATGCCTCTTTTCCAGTAAAATGGGTCTCCGGTTATCTACACTCACTATACGAAACACAGCATTGTTAAGCTGCTATTCTACGCTGGTATTCTGTGAGAGCGTGGTCCTTCCCCGGTCGAGCCGACCCATTCGTGCTACAACTATACTACTATTATAGCTTCAGCATGGCTCTGCCACGTATAAGCACTCTCTACACTCACCATACGAAACATAAGCTTAACACTAAGTGTTAAGCTGCTATTTTACGCTGGTATTCTGTGAGAGCGTGGTCCTTCCTCGGTCGAGGCGACTCATTCGTGCTACAACTATACTACTAATATAGCTGCAGCGTGTCTCTACCACGTATAATAATTGTATTATAGTTATCTCTATCTAGTCTATAGAAAGAATTGTAAGTACTGAATTTTCAGTTGGAATGCCTAGTCAAATAAATTTGACAAATGTTAAAGGGTAAAAATTTCTTAAATTATGTAGTTACTTAACTGAAAAAAATTATAACAAAGCCTTCAATTAAACACTAAAAAAAAGTAAATAAACTTTAAATTAAATAAAACCTATCCATTTATTACATTACACAATTTGTATGATTTAAAAGATTGTCGCGAAATTAAGAAAAAAATTTTATTTATTTATTTATTCTTTATTGCATTCCTTAAAACAAAGGAATACAAAGGGCGGACTTAATGCCTTGAGACATTCTCTACCAGTCAACCCATGGAGTGGTGAGAATCTGACGTAGGTGCGGCAATATAGAATAAAATAATACTACACAAAATAATAATTAACTACATAATACATACAAATTACTAATAAATAAACTATACATATATGACGTATACAAACATATATACAAATATATACATACAAATTTACATATTTAAATACATAATATCGCACCTCCGATAAAATAGTGTTACAACTCGAAAAAGTCGAATTTTGAGTTAAATATACAGAAATACTTAAAATTTTATGAACTATATTCTCCAAAATGGTTACATCTGTAACTCATAAACTCGCCGCTAGATGAGGTTGTAACGGTACATGACTATAGCATTTTGACTCGAGAATGATCTCTATTAGTGTTACATTTAGTGTTATAAAAGGTAGACGTGCGTTTGTTTAGACAAGAAGTGTTACATATCAAAATACAACAGTGTTTTAGACCGGTAAAATATTTTTGCATACATCAATTTGTCTAATGAACAGTTACAAGTCGAATTGTTACAGTTTATTGTTCAAGAATTGAATCAAACTAACTCAATATTTCTATCCTAAAGTGATATATTTTGTAATGTATCAGTATTATGGATGCGATTTATTGTAATATTGTTTTACTTTTCACGTTGTAACAGTATTTGACGAAAAACTTATATTTTTTGTCTGAATATTTCGATTTGTAACCTTGTTTTATAACTAAGTTTAGGTATTTTCGAAATATTTGCTGTGAATCTGATTTATGATTCTAGGTTCAAAATGAAACGTAATGACGTAATTCTGCGTTTAGCTCTAAAGGATAAAAGAAATATACCCGCCGATTCATTCGATCATCAAAAGATTGGGGGAACAAACTTGCAAGGTATGATGCCTACTATACTTACCTACTTACCTTACCTACCTGTTTTTACCAGGTTATTTTTGTCATTCTAAAAGTTAGTAGCATACGTTATTTTGTATAACGAACTAATTTAAACGCCAAACTTTATGTAAACAAGTGAATTTCATCATAAGTTCGTGTTAATATTTTTTTCAGAATCAAGAGAAAAATCGGATTTTGATATTATTGACAATCTATCAGAAACCGGGAAAATTGACTTCGATATACCACAATGTAACCTCGCAAGAGCTAATCAAGATTTCATAGCTAATTTCGATTTGCCAAATGATCTTCAGACTCAAAGTGAAAAATATGGTAGTATTTTATTGTGCAATTGATATAAAAGTTGCCTTTGTTTAGTAGTCATTATAATTGTTGATTCGATTTTGCATTTACAGATTTAACAATAAGTAATTCTGCCACTTACAATACTGAAGTGATACCATCTACAAGTTCAATAGAAGTTAAAGACCAGAGTTCCAAGCAAATCGAGAAGCCTATTGATGACTCGTCTACCGATTCTTCTTCAGATACAGAAAGTACATGTTCTTCAGACAGTTCTAGTTCAACTTCAAATGAGGATAGTGATGATTCGGTGAAAGATCCAGATTTTCAAATTAAGGAACGTCGTTCCATTAAAATCTCTGACGATTCCGAAACTGAAGACAACGTTGGTAACCAAGCTACACCTGCAGCTACATCTTCAGTATCAACATTGTACTCAAACCTAGATGACACGATACCAGACACGAAAAAACGAAGCAGAAAACGTGTAGCGAAACCAACCGAATGGTTACAAAATAAATGTAAAATCCTCAGAAATGCAGGATCTGCTTACGTAACACTAAAAACAAAGGTAAAGAAGGATGCTAGAAAAATTAAACCACCGTGTAGCGAACGTTGTCGGTTAAAGTGCAAAGAAAAATTTTCAGAAGTGGATAGAGAAGCTGTTTTTAAAGAGTTCTGGGAACTTAAAGATATTAACCGCCAAAGAGATTTTATCAACAGGCATATGGCGCCAATAAAGCGAAAATATAGATACACGACTACTCAAAAAGGGAGACAGTTAAATCATGCATTTTACTTGACCAAAATGGGATGTCAAATCCAAATCTGCAAGACATTCTTCATGAATACAATAGACATCAATAATAGAGTAATACAGACCGTAATCAAGAAGAGGACATCTGCTGGTTTCGTTGAAGAGGACAAAAGAGGCAAACATCACAGTCATCACAAATTGCCTGAATGTGTTAAGGAATCTATTCGCAACCATATTAATTCAATCCCCCGCATCGAGAGCCATTATTTGCGACAGCAAACTGCAAGGGAGTTTATTGAGGGTGGAAAAACAATAGCTGATCTTCACCGTGAGTACGTAGAAGAATGTGGGCTTAATAATAGACCTCACAGCAATTATGTAATGTATGCAAAAATTTTTAACACAGAGTTCAATTTAGGTTTTTTTGAGCCAAAAAAGGATCGCTGTGAGCTGTGTGTTGCTTATGAAATCGCAGAGGACAAACAACATCTTCAACAGATATATGATCAACACCTTTTGGAAAAGCAATTGTCACGACAGGAAAAACAGTGCGACAAAGATAACGCTTCGGAAACAAATATAATAGCAGTTTATGATCTTCAAGCTGTTCTGCCAGTTCCAAAAGGTGACGTATCTGTTTTTTACTACAAAAGTAAATTGAACTGTTTTAACTTTACGGTGTCCAACCTTGCAACTAAAGCAACTGAATGTTACTTCTGGCATGAGGGCATAGGTAATCGTGGTTCTGATGAAATTGGTAGTTGTATTCTCCAGTTTATAGAAAAAATATTGTCTCAAATTAATGATGGTTCTGCTATTGACATAACCTTTTATTCAGACAACTGCGGAGGGCAAAATAAAAACAAGTTTATAATGGCTCTATCTAAGCACTATGCTCAATGACCTCAATAGTGTTTCCCAACGGATAGGTCTTAAGATGAACATGGACAAAACAAAGATTATGTTTAATGTCCATGTCACACCTATGCCGGTAGTTGTTGGGAGCACTAAGCTCGAAGTTGTTGACGAGTATGTTTACCTGGGACAAATAGTCCGACTAGGTAAGTCCAACTTCGACCGAGAGGTCAATCGACGGATTCAACTCGGCTGGGCAGCGTTCGGGAAGCTACGACACATCTTCTCGTCAGACATACCTCAAAACCTTAAAACGAAATTGTACAACCAGTGCGTGTTGCCAGTGATGACTTACGGAACTGAGACGTGGTCCTTCACTGCTGGCCGTTTGAGGAAGCTCAAGGTCGCTCAGCGAGCTATGGAGAGGGCTATGCTCGGAGTTTCTCTGCGTGATAAACTTAGGAATGAGGATATCCGCAGTAAAACCAGAATAACCGACATAGCCCAACGAATTAGTAAGCTGAAGTGGCAGTGGGCCGGCCATATAGCTCGAAGAACCGACAACCGATGGGGAAGAAAGGTTCTCGAGTGGCAGCCTCGTACCGGTAGGCGAAGTGTAGGGCGTCCCCCCACGAGATGGAGTGACGACCTGGTAAGACATGCAGGAAGTCGTTGGATGCAGGTGGCTCAGGACCGTGCTTTGTGGCATTCTTTGGGGGAGGCCTATGTTCAGCAGTGGACTTGTGAAGGGCTGTAATGATGATGATGATGAATGGCTCTATACGCCTATTGCGTACTCAAATACGATAGACTGAAATCTATTACACACAAATTTTTAGTGACTGGACATACTCAAAATGAAGGCGATTCAGTGCATTCGGTAATTGAGAAATGCATTAAAAGGAGTTTGAAATCTGGCCCAATTTACGTGCCTTCTCAATATGCACAAATTATAAGAACAGCCAAAAAAACTGGGCCCCCATACTCGGTGAATGAGCTTTCATTTAATGACTTTATATCCCTGAAGAAGTTACATGCAGAACTACGTTTCGGTACGGGTAACATTAAATTAAAAGACGTCAGGGTCGTTAAATTCATGAAAGAAACACCTCGTGTTTTTTATTACAAGAATTCTTATGGAGACGAAGGATTTTCGGAAGCTAAAATTTGGCGAACACATCCTGAGGTTCTGCCTGGACTAAAACCTGCTTACATCAGACAGCTCTCAATAAGCGAGAGGAAGAAAGCTGATTTGATGAGTTTGATTAATAGTAATCATATACCACAGTTTTATGCGCCTTTTTACAACCAATTGTAATTGAATAAATACCAATAATTTTTTGATAACTATGCACCCTAATTAAAATACGACTGAAACTTAGATTTCATCTGTGATTTTGATTTTATAGTGATGATTACAGTTCCTATTTAGTATTTAAACATTATTTCATTAAGAAGAACGTTAAACCAAATATTATTTAAGAGTAACTTAATTAAGTACTACCTGAACTTGTACTGTAAAGTGATTCGATAAAATTGTGATGTCTAGAATAGTTTACATTTTTGTTTTAGTTAAAATTTTTGAATATTTATGTTAGAGTTGATTTTGTTACTAAGTCTACAACTATATAAATATTGTTTAGTTCAAAAAAGTTTAAATAACTGCCTAATTTTTATTATAATAAGAATTGTTACATTTGTCATACTGTATTTTTGTTAGTAAAAGTTCAAATAGTTATCTAAAATACTGTTACAATTAGGAATTTTCAGGTTATTTTTCAGGAAATTTGAAAAATATCTTACGTCATTTAAACATATTTTTGTAAGCTTTTCAATTATATATAATTTTTATCACTTTATACTAATACTACAAGAATAAAGACTGTATAACGAATCCATGAGTTTAATTTCGCTTTTCTAAAGATCCAGGTTTTTCAAGTTGTAACCCTATTTTATCGGAGGTGCGATATATAATTAGTACATACAAATACCTATGAATATATGCGTCTGTTTAGCAATACATATCAAATGGATGAATCAAGTAAAATGCTTTGTCTTCAATAGATGATTACGGACCATTTTTTAAAAACATACTTATTGGGTGCTTTTCTGATGTCATCGGGCAAGGAGTTCCAAAGCACAGAAGGTCTCTGGCAGTATTTGTTTCAAATTGTTTACAATATTCTACAATAAACGTAAGAATCAGATGCAGAAGAAGTGAGTACAAACGACGAAACAATTGTTCCTTGTAGAAATAAAATTAAGATGCTACATGGAAAGTGAGTGACATTTAATTCGACCTCAAATGGAGGAGATTCTCCATTCGTCTGTATGTTTTTGTAGATAATATTTTAAGAGATAATTTTTCGAATCGTGAACCAAATTATATATCTTCAAATTTTTATTATATCTTCAAATACATGTTTTCGTAATATTCTAAATTAGCGGATAAAGTTGAACAATTTTCGTTATACTATTTAAGAGGAATGAACTCCGGATGTTCGCGTTCAATGACGTGTTAAACGCTTTTTACTTAAACGCACGTTAAAGTTTTTTCTTCGTATTAGAATTATTAACACGTTTCGTGATATTATTTTTACGTACACATAAGGGAACACACATCCTATTTACAATGAATGCCGTTAAAATGTCTCTGTCGCAGCCAGATTGTGTCGCCACTGGTACAAAAATGTGGAGCGTCAACCAGATCACCACTGTCTTCATCAATGTACACATGTCATACTCGCAAGCAACTATTGCTTAGTGCTCGTGAAGCCGATGACAGACCTCAATCAGCTGTAAAAGTGCTTATGGAATTATTCTGTATTTTACGTCGTACATTAACAGTTTCTAATGGTAATTTGAGTATGCCACTGAGATCAATAGGGTTACCTTTTCAATCTTAGAAATTGTCATCAATAAACTTTAATGGATTAGAAGTTTATCAATGTCTATCAAATAAGTTCAAACAAATAAAAAGGCTACGAACATTAAAGTAATTATATTTGATCAAAGCTATGGTGAATGCAGCATTATTCTAATAGTTTTCTATATCGTAGGTACGATACTCGTGACAGCTTTGTACACACAAACTAGTTGTCGTTATTAAGATTTTATCAGGAAAAATGAGACATAAGCAAAACAATTCATATAAATATTTGTACGAAAAAAATATAATGTGTATGAGACCGTTGTTGGCAATTGAATACTTTTATGGAATATTTAGATTTCCCATAAATAATTTTTTTCTTCATGTAGACATACGAATAAAATTGCTCAGTTTATTGATTAGTTCAATGTGGGTTACAAGTTACTTTGTATTTTGTTTTGCACCAATGACAAGGCCCGTCATGGCGACTACAGCAGAGTTTGTGGATGAAACAGCATGGATTTCAATCGCCATTCAGTATCTAATGACGACGTTAATATTAGTTCTATTTCAAAACAAAACCAATAAAATCATTGTGGAAAAGTTTGCTGCCATTGACTGTGCACTACAAACAATTATTAATGACGATTTCTACAGCGAGTCACGCAAACATGCGAATAAGTTAACAATTTTATATTTTGTATCTTGTATATTGTTAACAGTATTTGCTATGACCCTAGAACGTGATTTCCCAATACAATATTTAATTTATTTAGTTATTTATTTTGAACGAAAGATAGAGGTGTGTATGTTTTGCCAAATTATTTCCATGCTGAGGCAAAGAATTTTGGTAATAAACAGTTATTTCGAACATTTTTTTAAAAATCGCAGAACAGCAGATGAATCGTCCATCAACAATCAAACATGGGCTAAAGGAAGTATCAAATTCATAGGACAAGTCTCTTTAAAAAAGTTGAAAATGCAAAAGCTAGTTAGTGCATACAATAAGGTGGGAGAATTATGTTATTTGATTAATAGTGTTAACAATGTTTTTCTCTTAATGACTTTTTAATCTGCATTTATTTATATAATCTGTACGTTCTGGTCATCTTTGTACTACCTTAAATCAAATAAAAGTTTCACATCCTTGTTAAGGGTTATCGTCTTGAGCGGTGCTGAACTTATCTCAATTAGTAGCATATCTTTCTACTGCGAAAGTATTCTTGTAGCAAAAAATGGATTAGAAGTCTATTTAAACAAAACTATCAATGATTATAGTTTACCAAAACATACGAGGGTGCAAGCAAAAACTTTTCTTGAAATAACGCTAGTGTGGCCTCTGCACATTTTTGTTTTCGACATGTTTCCAGTTAACCTAAAATTAATACTTGATTTTATAAGCGTGTGCACTTCTTACTTAGTTATTGTCGTTCAAATTTCTCACCTTATGTAAAAATGCTTAGCCTTAATAGGCGATATATCTCAGTTACATATTATGTCTTCAGAAATTTATATGTAGCATTCTTTGTTTGAAGCTGTTTGTATTTGACCGTCGGTTAACATTGTATGGAGCTAGTTTGTGTGATATTTAAAAAAGTGGTAAAAAATTACAATAAGTCAAATATGTGATTAGTATACTTAATATGTGTGAGCACCCTGGTGAGCACAAATATTTCTAAAGAAGTGTACACCATTACTGTATATAAAAAAGAAAAAGCAGTTGATGTTATGTATATATCTATTTATGTCTATAAATGTATATATGTATGTAAGTGTGTTAAAGATAGTTGATATATATATATATATATATTATGGATTATAATGTATTTCTTTCAATTCATATGATTGGTGTAATATATACGCGTAATTTTAAAATGTGTTACAACCATTTCTATTTATTTAATTTAGTTATCTAAGTCGCCTGTCATTAATTTTAACCACGTCATGGGTTGACTGGCACAGAATGCCGGCATTAAATCAGCTCTTAGATATCTATACGGTCAGTTAGTACAATAAAATTTATAGATAAATAAATAAATAAAAAAGCTTATAACAAGATTTACCTATTTTATCAAAAAATATAATATTTTTTCTTAATTTCGCGACAATCTTTTAAATTATACAAATTGTGTAATGTAATAAATGGATAGGTATTATTTAATTTAAAGTTTATTTACTT